TGTATGGATCCAATCACACATAAATATAACCCATCATAATGAGACAGACATTGCAGCCAAATTAGCGTGTAACAAAGATGAAGTTGAATTAGATTTAGGTATCCTTATCTCTGCTGTCAAAACTATATTGTTCCAAACACTCAGGTCTGATAGGAAAGAAATTACTGACTCCCAACGACCTGAAAGCACCAATATGAAAAGCTATGATTTGTTTAAGTCTGAAACCTATATTTATGGGCAGCACAAAAAGTCCACCAGACTGTGCGACACAGTGGTTGCCAGGATCAGGTTGGGTTACCGTTACCTGTGAAGGTGGCTACAGGTAAGTCTTCATATAGTCAAGGGCAGCTGCATACACACACACTGTACTCCCCCTTCATATAGTCTAAGGCAGCTGCACACACACACACTCTGTACTCCCCTTCATATAGTATAGGGCAGCTGCACACACACACACACTGTACTCCCCTTCATATAGTATAGGGCAGCTGCACACACACACACACACCGTACTCTCCTTCATAGTCTAGAACATCTGCAAAAACACACACTGTACTTCATTTCATATAGTCTAGGGCAGCTGTACACACACACTGTACTCCCCCTTCATATAGTCTTGGGCAGCTGCAAACACACATTGTACACCCCTTCATATAGTCTAGGGCAGCTGTACACACACACTGTACCCATCTTCATATAGTCTAGGGCAGCTGTACACACACACAATGTACTCCCCTTCATATATTCTAGGGCAGCTGTACACACACACTGTACTCCCCTTCATATAGTCTAGGGCAGCTGTACACACACACAATGTACTCCACTTCATATAGTCTAGGGCAGCTGTACACACACACTGTACTTCCCTTCATATAGTCTAGGGCAGCTGTACACACACACTGTACTCCCCTTCATATAGTCTAGGGCAGCTGTACACACACACTGTACTCCCCTTCATATAGTCTAGGGCAGCTGTACACACACACACTGTACTCCACTTCATATAGTCTAGGGCAGCTGTACACGCACGCTGTACTCCCTTCATATAGTCTAGGGCAGCTGTACACACACACTGTACTCCCCCTTCATATAGTCTAGGGCAGCTGTACACACACACTGTACTCCACTTCATATAGTCTAGGGCAGCTGTACACACACACAATGTACTCCCCTTCATATAGTCTAGGGCAGCTGTAGACACACACTGTACTCCCCTTCATATAGTCTAGGGCAGCTGTACACACACACACTGTACTCCACTTCATTTAGTCTAGGGCAGCTGTACACGCACGCTGTACTTCCTTCATATAGTCTAGGGCAGCTGTACACACACACTGTACTCCCCCTTCATATAGTCTAGGGCAGCTGTACACACACACACTGTACTCCCCTTCATATAGTCTAGTGCAGCTGCACGCACACTGTACTCCCCCTTCATATAGTCGAGGGCAGCTGTACACACACACTGTACTCCCCCTTCATATAGTCTAAGGCAGCTGTACACACACACTGTACCCCCCTTCATATAGTCTAGGGCAGCTGTACACACACACACTGTACTCCCCTTCATATAGTCTAGTGCAGCTGCACACACACTGTACTCCCCCTTCATATAGTCTAGGGCAGCTGTACACACACACTGTACTCCACTTCATATAGTCTAGGGCAGCTGTACACACACACTGTACTCCCTTCATATAGTCTAGAGCAGCTGTACACACACACTGTACTCCCCTTCATATAGTCTAGTGCAGCTGCACACACACTGTACTCCCCTTCATATAGTCTAGGGCAGCTGTACACACACTGTACTCCCCTTCATATAGTCTAGTGCAGCTGCACACACACTGTACTCCCCTTCATATAGTCTAGGGCAGCTGTACACACACTGTACCCCCTTCATATAGTCTAGAGCAGCTGTACACACACTGTACCCCCTTCATATAGTCTAGTGCAGCTGCACACACACAATGTGCCTAAATGTGTGAATACAAAAAAATATTCGACCAAGCAAAAGAATGTTCAAATGACAGAATTTCGGTCAATAACAAAAATTTGATTACGTGATGAAGATGGTGCGTGTGATGGAAACATTCCAGATCCCTGAGTAACATGCCAGGTCCCTGAGTAACATTCCAGGTCCCTGAGTAACATGCCAGGTCCCTGAGTAACATTCCAGGTCCCTGAGAAACATTCCAGGTCCCTGAGTAACATGCCAGATCCCTGAGAAACATTCCAGATCCCTGAGAAACATTCCAGGTCCCTGAGTAACATTCCAGGTCCCTGAGAAACATTCCAGGTCCCTGAGAAACATTCCAGGTCCCTGAGAAACATGCCAGGTCCCTGAGTAACATGCCAGGTCCCTGAGAAACAATCTAGGTCCCTGAGAAACTCTCCATACCCCTGAGAAACATTCCAGGTCCCTGAGTAACATTCCAGGTCCCTGAGAAACATTCCAGGTCCCTGAGAAACATTCCAGGTCCCTGAGAAACATTCCAGGTCCCTGAGAAACATGCCAGGTCCCTGAGAAACATGCCAGGTCCCTGAGAAACACTACAGGTCCCTGAGAAACTCTCCATACCCCTGAGAAACATTCCAGGTCCCTGAGTAACATGCCAGGTCCCTGAGTAACATGCCAGGTCCCTAAGAAACCTTCCAGGTCCCTGAGTAATATGCCAGGTCCCTGAGAAACATTCCAGGTCCCTGAGAAACATGCCAGGTCCCTGAGAAACAATCTAGGTCCCTGAGAAACTCTCCATACCCCTGAGAAACATTCCAGGTCCCTGAGTAACATGCCAGGTCCCTGAGAAACCTTCCAGGTCCCTGAGTAATATGCCAGGTCCCTGAGAAACATTCCAGGTCCCTGAGAAACATGCCAGGTCCCTGAGAAACACTACATGTCCCTGAGAAACACTACAGGTCCCTGAGAAACTCTCCATACCCCTGAGAAACGCTCCAGGTCCCTGAGAAACACTCCAGGTCTCTGAGAAACACTCTAGGTCCCTGAGAAACACTCTAGGTCCCTGAGAAACACTCCAGGTCCCTGAGAAACACTCCAGGTCCCTGAGAAACACTCCAGGTCCCTGAGAAACACTCCAGGTCCCTGAGAAACACTCCAGGTCCCTGAGAAACACTCCAGGTCCCTGAGAAACACTCCAGGTCCCTGAGAAACACTCCAGGTCCCTGAGAAACACTCCAGGTCTCTGAGAAGCACTCCAGATCACTGGGAAACACTCCAGGTCCCTGAGAAACACTCCAGGTCCCTGTGAAACACTCCAGGTCCCTGAGAAACACTCCAGATCCCTGAGAAACACTCCAGGTCCCTGAGAAACACTCTAGGTCCCTGAGAAACACTCCAGGTCCCTGAGAAACACTCCAGGTACCTGAGAAACATTCTAGGTCCCTGAGAAACACTCCAGGTCCCTGAGAAACACTCCAGATCCCTGAGAAACACTCCAGGTCCCTGAGAAACACTCTAGGTCCCTGAGAAACACTCCAGGTCCCTGAGAAACACTCCAGATCCCTGAGAAACACTCCAGGTACTTGAGAAACATTCCAGGTCCCTGAGAAACACTCTAGGTCCCTGAGAAACACTCTAGGTCCCTGAGAAACACTCCAGGTCCCTGAGAAACACTCCAGGTACCTGAGAAACACTCCAGGTCCCTGAGAAACACTCCAGGTCCCTGAGAAACACTCCAGGTCCCTGAGAAACACTCCAGGTCCCTGAGAAACACTCCAGGTCCCTGAGAAACACTCCAGGTCCCTGAGAAACACTCTAGGTCCCTGAGAAACACTCCAGGTCCCTGAGAAACACTCCAGGTCCCTGAGAAGCACTCCAGATCTCTGAGAAGCACTCCAAATCTTTGAGAAACACTCCAGGTCCCTGAGAAACACTCCAGGTCCCTGAGAAACACTCCAGATCCCTGAGAAACACTCCAGGTCCCTGAGAAACACTCCAGATCCCTGAGAAACTCTCCAGGTCCCTGAGAAACACTCCAGGTCCCTGAGAAACACTCCAGGTCCCTGAGAAACACTCCAGGTCCCTGAGAAACTCTCCATACCCCTGAGAAGCGCTGCAGGTCCCTGAGAAACACTCTAGGTCCTTGAGAAACACTCCATGTCCCTGAGAAACACTCCAGGTCTCTGAGAAGCACTCCAGGTCCATGAGAAACACTCCAGGTCTCTGAGAAACACTCCAGGTCCCTGAGAAACACTCCAGGTCTCTGAGAAGCACTCCAGATCCCTGAGAAGCACTCCAGATCCCTGAGAAACACTCCAGGTCTCTGAGAAACACTCCAGGTCCCTGAGAAACACTCCAGGTCTCTGAGAAACACTCTAGGTCCCTGAGAATCTCTCCATACCCCTGAGAAACGCTCCAGGTCCCTGAGAAACACTCCAGGTCTCTGAGAAGCTCTCCAGATCCCTGAGAAACACTCCAGATCCCTGAGAAACACTCTTGGTCCCTGAGAAACACTCTGCTGAGAAACACTCCAGGTCCCTGAGAAACACTCTAGGTCCCTGAGAAATACTCCAGGTCCCTGAGAAACACTCCAGGTCTGAGAAACACTCCAGGTCTGAGAAACACTCCAGGTACCTGAGAAACATTCCAGGTCCCTGAGAAACACTCCAGGTCTCTGAGAAGCACTCCAGGTCCCTGAGAAACACTCTAGGTCCTTGAGAAACACTCTAGGTCCCTAAGAAACACTCCAGGTCTCTGAGATGCACTCCAGATCCCTGAGAAACTCTCTAGGTCCCTGAGAAACACTCCAGGTCGCTGAGAAACACTCCAGGTCTCTGAGAAGCACTCCAGATCTCTGAGAAACACTCCAGGTCCCTGAGAAGCACTCCAGGTCCCTGAGAAACTCTCCAAGTCCCTGAGAAACACTCCAGGTCCCTAAGAAACACACCAGGTCATTGAGAAACACTCCAGGTCCCTGAGAAACACTCTTGGTCCCTGAGAAACACTCTGCTGAGAAACACTCCAGGTCCATTCCACTCACCTGGAGGCACCTGGTCGTCGTCTGCGCCCCAAGTTTCGTGGTCCACTTTCGGACATCGGTCGTCGTGGTGGTTCACGAACCCCTGGTCCCTGTCGCCTACCCCTGCGGGCCAGCGTGCCCCCGCCTGCCCACTCCTGCGCCTGCTGTGGCCGCAGCCGTCGTCTGGCCAGTCTCCGCCGGGGGCGAGCCATGTCCACCCGGCTGTGGCCCGTGTCCACCCGGCTGTGGCCCGTGTCTACCAGGGGGTGGCCCATGTCCACACGGGGATGGCCCGTGTCCACACGGGGATGGCCCGTGTCCACACGGGGGTGGCCCGTGTCCACAAGGGGGTGGCCCGTGTCCACACGGAGGTGGCCCGTGTCCAGGCGAGGCCAATCTATATCTAGAAAAGAGCGACCATTTTCTAGACGAGAGTGGCCCTTGTCCAGCGTAGGATGGCCCTTGTCAAGCCGGGGGTGGCCATTTTCCAGCCGAGGATGGCCCTTATTCAGCCTAGGGTGGCCTTTTTCCAACTTGGGGTGGCCCCTGTCAAACCGGAGGTGCCCATTTTTTAGCTGGGGGTGGCCCTTGCCAAGCCGGGGGTGGCCCTTGTCAAGCCGGGGGTGGCCCTTGTCAAGCCGGGGGTGGCCCATGTCCAGCCGGGGGTGGCCCATTTCCAGCCGGGGGTGGCCCGTTTCCAGCCTAGGGTGGCCCATTTCCAGCCGGGGGTGGCCCGTTTCCAGCCTAGGGTGGCCCATTTCCAGCCGGGGGTGGCCCATTTCCAGCCGGGGGTGGCCCATTTCCAGCCGGGGGTGGCCCATTTCCTGCCGGGAGTGGCCCATTTCCAGCCGGGAGTGGCCCATTTCCAGCCTGGGGTGGCCCATTTCCAGCCGGGGGTGGGCCTTGGAGGTGCTGACACTGCTCCGTTCCCGTCTGACTCTGTGGGTGAACAAGAAGAGTGAACAGTTAGTAAAGGCAATGTTCAACAGACACAAAGATGGAACACGTAAAGTTTACGAGGCCAATGTGTCATAGCAGGAGTTTATGTGAAGACCATGATAAGATGGGAGAAAACTATTGAGAACCATGATGTACACTTTGGCAGGAGTGGGGGCTAAGAGGAGCTGCCCTGAGGCAAGTAGAGGAGCTGCCCTGAGGCAAGTAGAGGAGCTGCCCTGAGGCAAGTAGAGGAGCTGTTCCTGAGGCAAGTAGAGGAGCTGCCCTGAGGCAAGTAGAGGATCTGCCCTGAGGCAAGTAGAGGAGCTGCTCCTGAGGCAAGTAGAGGAGCTGCCCTGAGGCAAGTAGAGGAGCTGTTCCTGAGGCAAGTAGAGGAGCCACCATGAGGCAAGTAGAGGAGCTGCCCTGAGGCAAGTAGAGGAGCTGCCCTGAGGCAAGTAGAGGAGCTGCCCTGAGGCAAGTAGAGGAGCTGCCCTGAGGCAAGTAGAGGAGCTGCCCTGAGGCAAGAAGGGGATGTTAAGGGAACAAATCTTCAAAGAGAGAGGAGAATATGCATGAGTACAATGGAAGAAGAGAATAAAAAAAAAGGACTGATAAATTTATTATTTATGTATGTATGTATGTACAAGAAGGAACATTGGGTGTTAACAGAGAACATAGAAATTAAGTTGATTTACATTCTTGTGAAGTCACTAACACGCGTAGCGTTCGGGCAAGTCTATTAACTTGCCCGAACGTTATCAAATTAATAAATTTGTTAGTTAACAAATTAACTAACAGATAATTTTTAGATAATTCACCGGAAAATTGACATAAAATGTTTACAGGTACTTTACAGGATAATTTTAAGTAGATTAATTATAGTAAAATTGATAAAAAAATGTTTACAGGTACATTGTAAGAAAAAATTGACACAAGCTGATTAGAATAATACACAATAATAACAATACACAATATTGAACAATAATAATAAGATGGGAATAATACAAAAAAATCAGGAGTAGCTAAAGGGTGAGAGAGGAACTAGACCATTAAAACCCACACTGGTAGATGGAGTACGACACCAGCAGGTCGTGAGAAGAACTATACAAGACCTGGAGAGAAACCAATAGTAATTTACAGTCTACCAAAGCCAGAGTGACACACATGACATAACAGGAGGCCGAGTCAACAACAGATCGCAGGAATACCCACCAAAATATGGGCTAGTCAGACAATCATGGAATGTTACCGTCGACTAGGTATGTTCCAAACTGGATGGAAACGACCATTGAAAGTGACCTTCCAGAATATTATTCCAGTAAAATATATACAGAATGAAAAGAGGAAATGATGGCTCAACCCTAAGGTGTTCATTAGCCTGGATGTGTCAAAGGTGGATAGAGAGGGAGGGAGGGAATTATCAGGGTAAAGCACCAAGCCATTACGACTATACAGCACTTGGAATGGGTCAGGATAAGGATTTCGGATGTGATGGTGAGAAAGGAATGGTACCCAACCACTTGGACGGTCGGGGATTGAACGCCGATCTGCATGAAGCGAGACCGTCGCTCTACCGTCCAGCCCAAGTGGTTGGGCTGCAAAAAAATCATAAGGAGAGCACATAACAGTGCACGAGAACAGAAAGGTTAGGCATCAGGCAGCTCAATAAAGCAGAATAATAGGACATAATAGTCTGGTGAGGCACTCATCCACAGGAATAGACAAGAGTGATGTGACAAAAGACTTACCAGAACTTCCCCAATCAGAACTGACCATAGATGCTCTATGTTGACCAGACCACACACTAGAAGGTGAAGGGACGACGACGTTTCGGTCCGTCCTGGGCCATTCTCTAATTGATTGTCTCAATCGACTTGAGAATGGTCCAGGACGAACCGAAACGTCGTCGTCCCTTCACCTTCTAGTATGTGGTCTGGTCAACATTCTTCAGCCACGTTATTGTGACTCATCGCCTGCATAGATGCTCTACCTTGGCACCAACCAAAACAGCCCAGCAGAGATGATTTGTATCACAACTATGTACATGAAGACAATGGAATTACAAGTAAAATATTTATAGGGCAGGGTTTCAGAAAAACCACCGCACACAATCACAGTAACTGAACCGAGAGTGAAAAGTGTTATGGGCAATCTCCCCACGAACGTATAACTCCCCAGATGGTATTACTATACATTTCCTCAAATCCATACCAGTCAGGGTGTTTGCAAAGTTGTTTAACTGGTGGTTGGTGAACGAAACCCTGCCCCAACCTTTTCGTAAGAACAAGATAGTACAGATACCAAAGAAACCTAATCCAGAAACTCCTTCCCACTATCGCCCCATAACCATGTCATCTCTGATAGTGAGGCTGTTCCATAAGATTCTGAGCAGCAGACTCTCCGAGGCAGTCAGGATCGACAGGCGGCAGAAAGCTTTCGTCCCTATGGACGGATGTCCTGAAAACCTGGTGATCCTGGATGCCCTCCTAGCTGAGGCTCGTGCGCTAAAGCACAACTCGCACCTAGTGTTTCTGGACATGGAGAAGGCTTTCGATAGTGTCTCCCATCCGGCCATCCAGCTGGCCATGAAACGTAAAGGCATTCCGAAGCCTTTAAGGACATACATCATGTCAGCCTATGAATGGTCCTCAACTGTAATTACCAGCCAAGGGGAGAAGTCGAAGGACATCCTGATCACTTGGCCTTAAAGTGAATGCTGCGAAGTGCTGTACGCTAAGCATAGCTGCTTGTGAGGTTCCTTCCTTCCATAAGTGGGTCTCATCCGGTACCCGTCTGCTAAGCGGAAGTGATTTTGCTCATGCCATCCAGATTAGGGCAAACACTGTAGCCACCCCATTTAGAGCAGCTAGGAGTAGCCCCAAGGCTTCTGATTTCTGTGATGCTTGCCGGAAACCAGGGACTCTGGGTCACATATCCCAGGCATGCTATAAGACGCACGGGGCTCTGGTGAAGCATCATGACGATATCACTCGGTTCGTAGCTGGCCGCCTGTGACAGAGAGGTTTCGAGGTGGAACAGGAGGTTCGTATACCGGATGTAGGGACATTCTGCAAGCTCGACATCGTCGCTTGCAAAGGTGACGAGTCCTTCATATTAAGACACCCAGGTCTCTGCTGATAACTTCCCACTCTCCCGTCCACATCAGAGCAAGTGCGACGAATACGGCATCATCTTTCAAAAGGTGAAGGAATATACCGGTAAGCACACAACATCCGCCTCTTCTATAACCCTTAATTGGAGAGGGGGTGGTGCAAGGAGAGTGTGTGTGGACTTCAGGATATGGGACTCACCAAGAGCGACCTTGAGATTTGCTCTATGAAAGCCCTAACCTGGTCATATTCCATCTACAGAATATGGTCCAAGTCCACATCAAGGGGCAGACCACCTTAGTCCCAGGATCACTGTGCAATAGATTCATAAGGGTCAATATAGTCTTGTTTAGGTGAACCGCAGCCAGGATAGCTGGCAGCTATTTAAGCAAAGTCATTATCTGGAGTACCACTTCTCCGAATAATTCCTCACAGGAGGATGAATGACCTGGCCGAAGCCCATGAGCTGGTATGGTGGCGGCCGGAGGGACCCCCATGGAGGGCCGGAGGGACCCCCATGACTACCCTTCCGCTCCGGGGCCTTGCTAGGAGCTGTCGCTTTGACTTTTTTCTCCATGTATGATGCTGGTAAGTCACCAATCCTGCCGCTTAGGCAGCTTGTTGTTAGGCCTCAGCTTTCGTACATTTTTCATGATATACAGTGCACCTCTCTCTTTGTGTGCTGTGTCTTATATAAGAAAAATAAAATACAAAATAATTTTCCATTTTACCTGTTATTATTATCATCTTAACTCTTGTAGGTTGAGATTGCCATCTACCATTTATATATATTTTAGTTTGTGTTGATAGGGGAATAAGTATGTTTAGGGGTGCCTTCTCACCATGCCCATTGGCTGGGGGGATTGGTGCCCTGAAGCTACATAAACACTCTATACCCCATCCCCCCCACCCCCCCCCCCCCGAAGTGGCAAGGGATGTTAGGGGACAAAAATAAGCAGGAAAGATAGGATGATGAGGGGGGTGGAGCTGTCTGCTATAGGTATATAAGAGCATTGAGGAAACAACATTATCAGAAAAAAACAATTAGAAAGAGGGAGCAGCAACACAGTGACATGAAGATAGAGGCAGCGGTGATACTCAACCCCAGCCAAACAGTAAAAGGCCCAGGGAAGAAAAACGCAAATGAAACGAGACTTGCCATTGAAGCTGAATGGAAAAAAACAGCCACCTTGGCAAAGGTGACGAGAGCTAAGATTCTAGTATTTAAAACTTTTAATGGCTCGAGATTGCGAAGTCGGATTGCGAAAGGGATCTGGGAGTTATGATTAGTAAGAATTTAAAACCAAAGGAGCAATGCATGAATGTTCATAATAAAGCAAATAGGACACTGGGATTTATTAATCGAAGCGTTAGTAACAAGACACCTGGTGTTGTTCTTCAGATCTTGCTCTGGTTAGGCCCCCTTTAGATTATGCAGTTCAATTTTGGTCGCCGTACTATAGAATGGATATAAATTCACTTGAACGTGTACAGCGTAGGATGACTAAGTTAATTCCCCAAATTAGAATTCTTTCATATGAAAAAAGATTAACAAAGCTTAAATGGCTTTCACTGGAAAGGCGAAGAGTTAGGGGTGACATGATAGAGGTTTACAAGTGGATAAATGGACATAACAAAGAGGATATTAATGGAATATTAAAAGTATCAATACAAGACAGAACGCGAAACAATGGGTATAAATTGGATAAGTTTAGATTTAGGAACGACTTTGGTAAATACTGGTTAGGTAACAGGGTTGTTGATTTGTGGAACCAATTACCACGAAACGTAGTGTAGATGGGGTCCCTTGATTGTTTCAAGGGTGGGTTGGACATGTATATGAGTGGGATTTGGTGGTTATAAATAGGAGCTGCCTCGTATCGGCCAACA